AATACTCGTCAGTTGACTGGCACAGCTATTTTCAGCATGGGCTCCTTTTCTCCTTCCAGACTTTCATGAGACCTTTACAGTCCTCCTTGTCACTCAGCACTGCCAGGAGAAAAATCAAACCAAAGGCCACTGGAGAGCACTTCAAATCACAGAGTTGGGCTTGATCAATAGATGGATTGTACGGAAAGATATTACCATCATGCCTCTAACAGAGAGTAGAAATATATTGTGTGCTCCCTAAAGTACTTTAGCGCCCATAGTCTTACAACTTGTTGATTTTCCTCCATAAACTAGTTCTCTTTGCCACTCAAGGGAGTATTTTATGACAACATCGTCAGACTTTGTGGAGAGGCCCAAAGCAAAGAGTACTTAAGCATGTCAGAGTGGACCCCAAAAGTGCCCCATGGAGAGTCATAGAATAAGCACTTCCACAGTGAAATGGCCCAGACTCAGACCCAATTATGTGTGTGAGCCCGAGGTACTTAACCATATACCTCTAAGGTGTCTGCAAGATCAGTGACTGTTAAAAAGTGCCAACTATTAGGGAAACTATCCAGGGTAAGTCACAAACATTTGTAACAGGCACTCTGGGGGATATGTGTCTGTGATTAGGTGCTTTAAAATGGTCATCAAAAATACCTTCTCCAAGAAGCACTCATGAGGAAAAATGTAAATCTGTTTATTTTAAAAGAGAGACTTTAAGATCTGATTTTTACAAAGATCAACTGTTTTCAATATAAGGAAGATTTTAATGTGTTTTCTCAAGATAATGTGGGAATCAACTTAAGCAATACTGGGACCAGCAAGCAGGTAGCGTAATGGCTATATCGCTGGACTCCCATGTAGTCAACCAAGTCCTGGACCCGGTGGCTTAAATTCACTCTGGGTGCGTGTGCATGTGTGCCCAAGATCCCAAGAGGAGAATGGAGAAGGGATTGTGGTGTGGCCATCCCCCTGGGGGGTGATTTCTCACTTTCTGTCTCTCTGTCTCTGTCTTTCTGGCGAGCACATGTGCCCTATATCAAAAACCTCTCAAAAAAAAAAAAAAAGGAAAAAAAAAAAATTAAGCAATAATACTCTCATGAGTTGAACAAACCAACTATCCAAGAAAGACACACAAACAGCCAAAAAGCATATGAAATAAGCAATACTACTCTCATTTCAGAATGATATTATAGATGTATGGCCTTGCTGTTGATTTTCTTAACTTTGTTTTTATAACACGTTTGTTTACATGCTCATAGAAAATACTGACATACTTTTCTGTTAATATGATTGCTGTATGTTTTATAGGTAACCACTAGGTTGACAACATAGAAGAGGTAGTACAAAAGCAATACGCAACCTTATTTTTTTCCTCATACAACCCACCCAGACTTGCTCTGTAGGGCTTGCTTTTTGCTAGCTATGGATAAAATTCAAAGCAGACAACTCATCCTTAGGTAATAAGAAGCCATCCACTGATTTCTAGTCACAAAATAAGTCTCAGTTCAGTTATTAAACATATGGAGTCCAGGATAACAATTGAAACATTCAACTTCTCTTGGACTTTGAGCTTTTCTCTTTCTTTACCTTGGGCTGGGTCTCTTTGGGGAACATCGGATGGAAGGTGGAGGAGGGTGGGTTCAGCTTATTTTTATTCCCCCTCTTCCCTCATCCATTAGGCTCCCTCTGGTGTCAGGGGGACAATATTCCTAGATCCTGTCTGGCAGACTGTGTGAACCCCCTTTAAAATTGGTTTCCCAGAGTTCAGCAACAGTAGAGTAAGCCTCCTTCTTTCTCACAAAAGCTGCTCTAGTGACTTTATCAGACACCCACCCATTCTGTGTCACCTTCAAAGGCTCATGTGTTTCTCTGGCCAGTCGAGACAACTTAGGGACTTCATTCCCAACCTCTTCTGACCACCTTGACATCTTCTCCCAGGCCTGTTTCCTAGGCTGTAGGTGGGAGAAGAGTTAGGGGGCTCCAGAACTATATCTTGGAAGCCTTGTAGACAAACCTTGTTCTGGTCTCACACACTC